GAATGACAGTTTGCCCGAATATCGGATTGGGAGGTTAATAATGCCGGAGTTATATTTTTAATCTTACTATGTTTAATAGCGCGTAGTGTATGTGTATGTATGTATTATTTGTAAAGTATAAATATTTAGTGTTTCGTTTATTGTGTTCAATCGTAGTGTAAAATGAGAACCAGAAATATTTTTGGGAAAACGTTGGGAGCGACCAAATAGAATCGGTTTGTGTTTCCGACTGAGAAATGTACGTTTCAACTATCAAACGCATATTTTTCACTTGAATCTACGTTTTTCCCAACTATAATAATTTCCCAATCCCTAATTATTTTGAAAAATCGAACTCATCTCAATTAGATCCCAAGAAACTTTCTATGCGAGATGTACATTACTATTTTAAACCCAGAAAGAGATATGTCTGAGGCCAAAAACTACTGTGATTTCAGTGGGATTTCTCTCACATTTCTCTCACATATCAGTCGCATAAAAAAAAAAAAAAACAAATTATAATGAATTCGCGACTCTAAGACTGATATTCATAGTCGGATCTTATATTTAAGATCGTCTCAAGATCGTTCATCTTTAGATGTTTTATGAAACGGGCCAATGAAATGAGCTGTAAGTACAAAATCTGAAGACGAACTTAAAACGGTCTTATAATAAGATTCGACTATAAATACTGGCTCAAATACTTCCGACGTGATCTTCCCGAAAGAAGTTGCGATCACTCATCGAGGGATCGACCAATTTCATCTACATACGGCAACATCGAAGGGATGTCCGCTACACTGTCGGCAAAAATTAACGCTATCTACTTGGGTAAAAATGAGGAAGAAATCAAAATGCCGATCGCGGTCGGTGTGCGCTCGTCTGCACAGGCCGAGACGTCGGGGACTCGTCACGAATTCCGCCGACACTGGGGAAACGATGTTACTCGTGCCGGTAATCTGGCCGATTATTACGCACAGCTGACATTTTTCGTGCCGGCGCGCGAAACGTGATGGCGAGGAGACCGCCGGCGATCCAATTGACGAGGAACGAGAAGGAAAAGGAAGAGGAAGACGGAGGGGGAGGGGAGGGTTGGCCTGCGAATATCCGAAGGGCGAGCTCTCGTCATAGCTCGCTGCTGAATTATTGATGGGCAGCACTTAGAAGGCGAGGACGTCGGGACGCGGTGGCCTCGCCGAGGAGGATCGGCTGAGAAGGAGGATACGGTGGCGATGGTTGCGCGAGGGACCACTATCTCCGGTCCCGCGGGACTCTCTCGGGACTCCTCGCGAGCCCTCGCTACTCCCCCTCCCCCCCCCGCCCAATTCCAACCAATTTGACCGAAAGTTGGGCGTAATTTTATTTTCACACGTCTGCAGACGCTCCGAGCGAGGCCGAGCGGCCACGAGCGAAAGCAGCTGCGCTGCGTGTGCTTAGGCTTAGGCTCTCTCTCTCTCTCTCTCTCTTTCGTCCGGTTAAGTCCCGTTCCTCATGGGGGTTAGATTCGGCACGGGTCAAAGGAAACCGAGAGAAAGGAGAGAAAGAAAGCCGCGCCCCTGCTGCTGCCCCGCGCGGATCTTTATCTTTGCGCAATCAACGGCGGAAACGTGGACCGGTGGTCACCTCGGCCTGCGTGTTTCCGAGAAAAACCGGCAAGCGTGCAGCCGTTCTTCTTCTTCTCGGTTCTTCCGTCGACGGACGATCGTATATAGAAACGTGTAGAAACGCCAAGTCCCGAAACCGCTCGTACGAATCGCTCGTATAAATCGTCACGCTCGTAACGTCACGGAGCGACCGCTTCCGTCGGCCGCTTTTTGATAAACCGGTGACCCGGTGAGGGAAGGGTCACCGTTGAGAGGCCGCGCGAGAGGAAGATCCTCTCGATGTGAGGTGTGTGCCGGCGGGAAAGTTTCGCGCACCATCCGATGCAAATTGTCGCGCGCCTCTCTATCATTCGGCGAAGGGAAGAATCTGTCATTATCCCTCTGGGACGGCGCCGTCACCGCCTGTAAACGAAACTTCAGCCGGGGGCAGCAGGAGAGAGAGAGAGAGAGAGAGTCGAAAGTGTCACGGAATGTCTGTAAAATGCCAAAACAAGATTCTGACACGGCAGTAGCGGCTTACATCGGGGGATGCTTCCTTTCTCTCTCTCTCTCTCACCCTCTCTTTCCCTCTATCTCGTCATGCTCTCTCTTCCTCCCCTTTCTTTCGCTTTTACGACTTCCGATCTCTGTTCGGGTGGCAGCGAGAATGGTCATAATGGGTTACCGTCGTGTTGGCACATCTCCGCGCGAGGGAGAGACAAGCCCGAGCCTATGAAGGGGGGAGGGGGAGGGTAGGGAAAGCCACCGTGGCGTTTTACAGTCGTTAAGCGCAATAGCGAACGAATAAAAATCCCATCGCGTCTCGAATCATTTCGGCTCGAAAACCGAGTCGTTCCCCTCCTCCACGACGAGTCCCGTCCTTTCGGCCTCTCGGCCGTGCGTTAGAAATTGCGGAAGTTGCTTAATGGGGCCAACTCTTAAGTCTGATGCGTTTCTGGGGACAGATTTCGCGGAGTTTCCGCGTTTTTCGATTTAGGTAGACGCGGAGCCACCCTCGAGCGAAAAGAGTTAATAGCGTAGCCTTGGCGGTTTAAAGCCGCAACTGGGTGCCGTAGCCTTCGGTCTTTTGTCCCGAGCGCTGAATTGTAACGTAATATCTGACAAACAGCGTCTCCGGCGCTACCAGACGTCACAATTTCCAAAGGCGGCTATACATCGAGCGAACGAACGAACAACGAATACGACCACGCGAGCGCGTGATACGAATGTGTACGTTCGCGTTGAAACGCGTTGGACGAACTGTTTTTGACAAACTGGCTTTACGAGCAGGCCGGCCCGAAACTCCGCTCTCTGTTCGGATTCGTTGTGTTACGCGCGCACATTTTCCACCGTGTAATTAGAAAAATTTGAATTCGTTCCTCGTTCGTTCGCTCATTGTGTATCCAGCTTAAGATTCAAGCGTTATCACGACTTTCGGCGAAGCACCTTTTGTGAAAAATCCTGTTACATTTTATCGCTCAGAACAAAATGCTGGAAGTTTGTTAAAGCTTACACTTATTGTAGACCCAAACTGAGGCCGTTATTCGTAAGTCCGATCTTATATCTGAGATCGTCTTAAATTCATCCTCGGATGTTCAGATCGCTTCATCGGCTGCAAAGCATAGATAAACTCAAGGTGATCTCAAATATAGGATCTGACTGTAAATATCGGCCCAGAGCCCGGTTGCGTCAACTTTAATTCGGCTTTAAGCGAAATTTCACACTTTAAATTTGTCGTACCGAAGCAAAAGCGACCAGAGTGCTTTAATTTGCGGCTTATCTTGATATTCGTGCGAATTAAAGCATTTCAGGCGTCACTTTTGCTCTATCACGACAAATTTGTGGTTTTAAGTTTCGCCCGAAGTTAAAGTAACGTAAGTGTAACCGGGCCTAAAGCTTGGCTCACAATATGCTAATTGCGTCTTGTCTCCTATTCCTCCATCTTTCTACCGTAAGAACTTCCATTCGCTCAAGCAAAAAGAAACAGACACCAAGAAACAAGAAACAAAGAGCGCATTGTCGATCAGGTTTAACGCTAAAACTACCGACGATTAAAACGCGTATCTCTCCACCGGGGCGGTTTGAACAAGATTTTTGAAGAGAAACACGGTAACGCAAAGCAGAAAATATTTATTCGTTCGACACATCGCGACGAAAATGATTAAATCAGTTATATAATCTCCGAGATCTGCGCCGTTAGAAATCGGGGGGATTTTTACAGGAGAAAATGGCAAATCGGTCAATTATTTGCTGGCTTTCGTAGGTTTTGATGTTGAGACTCGGGGGAACGGAGAGCACCTCCTCCTCGGGAGAGACGGTCGGTCGAAACGTCCGTCGATTCGGTCGTGCGCGATTTTTCCCCGCTGGGGTTCGACGGGTCGCCCCGGCGCGCTCGACGACAGGTCGTTCGAGGAGCATGTGTGTCGCGATTTCGCGGGACACCATCGGGACGAGAGAACGTGGGCCACCCTCGGCCGCGAGCATTCGAAATTAAACGAAAGGTTAATGGCCAAGAGAGACACCAAGAAGTAGATCCCGCAGCTCGCGACCACCACCGTGTTCCATTGGCCGCGCGGCGGTTTACAGTTTAAATGTAAAACCGGTACCGGCGAGGGGGGAGGGGAGGGGGCCGACCATTGGGCGTGGTTACGTTACTCGATGTTCACTCGCGGATCACATTCGCGGCGCGCCGGCCGCGCTTGTCAGTAAACATGGGCTTCATAGCGCCTGAATAATGTATGCCGCTTAAGCGGTAGCCGCCGCGCTACGACACATCCACGCCACGCCTCTCCTCCTTTATATCTATTTGCGCGACCGCATAATTCGAGCCCCGCCGCCGCACTCTGTGTGCACGCAGTGCGCGTTTCTGCAAAATAACGCCCACCCACCTCTGCGGCTCCTCGCCGTGGTTGCTCGCCATTAACAGAAAGAGTGAGAGAGAGAGAGAGAGAGAGAGGCACGATAGTGTCGCGACAGACACGAGGATCCGCGAAAGGAGCGCGAACGCGAAAGTATGGAGCGCGAGCTTGCGATCGTCGTCTTTCTCCGTCTGACCGAGTTGTCGTCGAATCAAGCGAGTTACGATACGATCGAAGAGATATATTTGTCGAACTGTCAAGCCTTTAACCGAGAGGCCAACCGTGCTCGATGTCGGCTCGCGAATCAGCGGGGCGCAATTTCACGCTGGCGATTCCAGCGGAAATAATCGGCCGATTTAACGCGTCGGACGCCCCGAGGTTAAAGGATTAAATGTAAAATCGCGCGCGCGCGCGCTCGGGATTCTTGGAGATTTTCTTTGGGGAAACACTCTGTAGACGTGGGCGCGCGAGAGAGAGTTTCGCGATTCGCCGTGGCGAATTCTCTCCTCTCGCCGCCGCCGAGTCCATGAAGTATATCATAGAATGTCGCCGTAACCGTCGGTTTGCGTTTGAATTACAGCATCTTGGAGTTGCGCAAGGAGAAGAGCAGGGACGCGGCGAGGTCGCGACGGGGCAAGGAGAACTTCGAGTTCTACGAGCTCGCGAAGATGCTCCCCCTGCCGGCGGCCATCACCTCCCAGCTGGACAAGGCATCCATAATAAGACTAACGATTTCGTATCTCAAGCTCCGCGACTTCTCCAGCCACGGCGACCCGCCGTGGTCCCGCGACGGTCCCCCGCCCATCAAGTCCGTCAAAGGTAAGCCGATGCGTCGTCGTTGTCCCGGACGACGAAGGTTTCCGATCTCGGTGCTTTGCGTCGATATCGCGACCGGAGCTTTCGGAGCTGGCGAATGAGTTTGCTTGTGTCCACCAGGCTGTTTTTTTAGCGTTTCCTTTTTCCTACAAAGCTCCGACACTCGAACTTCGAGTCGAACTGAAGATTCGAAGCTTCGAAACATCGAAGATTACGGCCTTTGGAAACGAACTTTCGAGGCTTCAGAATTATCGAAGATTAGTGGCTCTAATATTCACCTGACGATGCAATGCGACGAGCAAATGCGTTTTGATTGGAAAAGACAGGGTCTTTTGTTATAATTTTGTTGTAAGAATTAAATTTGGTTCGTGAGAATTGGAAATTTGTTTCCGTCAACGCGTGAAAATGCATTTGGTTGTCCATTGTCAGGTGGATCCAAGCAAATTCATTTTTTTAATGTAACGATGTTTTGTATCGAAGCTTCTTTCCAAATTTTTTTCAAGTTCTCACTCGAAACGGACAAAAATTCGCTTGAAATGACAGTGAAAATATTCGGAATCGCAAGAGCGAGGATTCAACGCAAATTTAAAGTGGATTCTCAATCCGCGTGAGTGATTTTTCTAATTAACTAGCGCGAATTTTTCTGTGTAATGGTGAAATATATCAATATCACTCTTCAGTTTCGAATAAGAGACCGCTTCAGAATGAATTGCCACGCTGGGCAATTCATTCCATACGGGTGGTAAATCACCACGAATTCGACCGGCTCGGCTGTCGTTCTACTTTTCGAGTGAAACTTGACTCGAAAAAATTTAGAGAGTAGGTACACCGAAATAACGATCGGAACTTTTATTGTAACGTGCAGCGAATAACTTGTACGGCCGGCGGCATATATATTGTACCATTCCTCAGACGGAGAGTCACGTGATTTTTTCAGTCTTATGCATAACGCATAAGATTGAAAGTCGCAGATGTAACTTTAGTTACAACCTTGTGCGAGAGGCTAAAAATTGTGTAATGGTAAAGAGTTTCAATCTGGGGAATCTAGCACAGCATACACCGATAGAAAATTACAGTTCTTTTTGGCATCAAACATATCCTTTTTTATTTTGACCACAAAAATACAGAGAGAAAAAGGTTTCTTTACATTTAACGTTTCTATTTATTCGACTAAAATTTGTTTCGTACAGACAACATGTACGAAATATTATTTGTTTGAGTAAAAATTATATCTCATTCAAGGAAACTCTATTATTTAACAGAAAGAACGCTTATTATTTGAAATAATATCATTCAACCAAATAAAATGCCGTTTGGCTGCGATAAATATGTTAAACGAAACAAAGAATTTCTTTATAAGAAAATTATCTTTCGTTTCAAATCAATTTTTTTACTTAAGATAAAGACACATATCCGTTGAAGAGTCTAACAATTGTATTTATCAATCGGAACATTCGTTTCCTCGGAGGTGTGACAATGATTTGCTTGGATGCGATGAAATTGATTAAATTCGAAGAAATCTTTTTCTCAGCGTCGAAAATAATTATAACGCTCAATCAATATACACGACGACCGTACGTAGCTTAAAGTTCCATCTGTTCTGATTTCCATCGTTTCGTTAAACACAATACATTATCGCACTGTTGAACATTTCTCGTTCTAATTCATACCGATAGAACGACGACGAATTCGGGCTCGATAAAGATGTATCTGCCGATGATGCCTCTTGATGGATCAGCGTTTAACCTCGGATGGGGGAGTCATCGGGACTGTTAATAGGGATCGGGACCCATATTCCGTAGACCTAACTTTCTCTCTGGGGATAAGAATAAGAGAGGAAATCAGCCGCGTTATAATTCCTTCACTCTCGCGTCGTCTGCAGTAGAGTGGACCGGCATTGCGGCGGACACGTGTAAAACGTATCGTCACAATTTCGATCGTTTCGCTATCGCACGATACACGTGTCTCATCATCGATACACGAGACGTTTCGTGTGCAGAAGCAGAGAATATCTCGCGTGCCGTTGAATATGAAAGAAAGAAATTTTGCGTCAGATATCACTTATCGTTAAATGTGAGGAAAAAAAGAAAAAAAATATTTTGCGTCAGATATTACTTATCGTCAGTCGATTTTCGAGTTGGAACAACGAGAAATGTGCAAACTCGGGATGACTGACGAACTCCGTATTTGAGAGCTCGACACTGCGCCCCGATATGTATGTGCATACGGTCGGTTAAAATATGATTGATTGTGAGAAAATAAAGAGTAGAGGTAGAAATGAGGGAGGGAGGGAGGGAGACGTCGCCCTCGGGCCTGGTAATCGCGTTAAAGCTAGCAAGTCGGCCTGTCTCCGATTATGGATGATGTCTTTCCGATAGACACGTGTCACCTAATATTAGGCAGAATCGACGTCGCGTCGCAACATCGCGCCCGTAATTCGATTTCTGCCTAGGGTAGATGGATTTTTCTTTTTTTTTTTCTCGTCAAACGTCCACCCCCGCGATATCACGTCCCGACTATTCGGTCTAACGAGATATACTTCGAGTCTCCGTGGTAACGCGAAGTGAGAATCAACGAGACACACACACACACACGGGATTCTGTTCGAATGGACGTTTGGTGCAAGGGAAAACCTTCCTCGAGGAAACAAGCGAGCTCTTTGACAATAGATCGAGCTTCGAGATATCCTTTATAATTCCAGCATCCATGCAGCATCCGGCGAGAGATTTCTCTGGATACATAGTAATAGAGAATTGTCGGCGATCATCGAACGATACGATCGCCGCGAGTCTCCTTCATTTTCGTGCTTCATTTAGCGGAAAGGCCGCTTTATTCAGAGCTTTATTCCGTGGCGCAGCTTCCGGCCGATCGAAAGCCTCTCACCATCTTTTTCGTGAAACGCATCCTCGAGTCCGTGCCATCGAGTATATAATTCTTGATATGCAGAGTGAAATTTGCAACGAGTGACCTTGCATAGTCAGCAGCAAAATATCAACAGTCAAATAGAGACTCGCGTTACTCCGATGTTCGAAATTATTTTTTTTCCGAAAACAAAGCAGTTCTTGAAAAAGATACATTCTGTGTGTCCCGTTTGTTTCCCTCGCACGAGAGAGATCATATCTCACTGAGAGGGAAATATGTTGTATTTGTAACTGTAATTATCACAGTAGAAGAATTATGATAATTTTTCTGTCGCGGAAAGAAGAATCATTTTTCTATCATAAAAAGTAAAAGAATTAGCTCTCAGCTAAAAACTAAGTCTGTTAACTAAATTTCAGCCGTATTACATAGACCGTCAGTTTTTAGCTGTGGGAGTTAATTTTTCTTTCGTGTATTTAGTTATTGTTATTGTTATACTTTTCTCGTGGTTAAAAAAACCATAAGGAGGATACAGTTGATGCCGAAAACAACTATTCATAATTTTCCTCAGTGTACGATTGATCGAACAATTTACCTCCATTCTCTGATAAAAAAAGAGAGAAAGAGAGAGAGAGAGACGAATTTGCTGTTAACCGGACAATCATTGACCGAGAACAAACGCTATTGTCCGCATTTCCGAAGACGGGAGAGAAATCATTCCTCCCTAAAGAAAGAGGGCCGGCAGAGGGCGGCGTTGTCGAACGTCGGCGGGAAACTTACTCGTAGCTACCGCATATTTTCGGAGCGCTAGGCGGGGAAGGGGGCTGGCTGAGTTAATATTTACAGTGCGGGAGGGTCGCGAGAAAAGAGAGATAGAGAGGTTCCGCACGTACGCGGGGTACGTATAAAGGCTTAGGTACCTCCGCCACTATCCACATGGAAATCTAATCACGACAACCCCTACGCGGGCGGACGGGCGCGCCTCGCGTTACCAACCGCCAATGTAACTAAACTAACGAAATTGAGTTAGGCGCCGCGCATCGCTGCCGCAACTCCTCGTCAAACTAAATCCAGTGCGCGGCCCCTCTTCCATTCCGCATGTCAGGGCCACCGCCGGGACGACGACGAGGCCTCTCGACTTAACTCGAGTAAAATCATTCGAGATTTCGCGAGGTCTGCGGGGCCCCCCCTCATCCCGCGCTCCCGATTCGCGAGGTCAATCCGAGAGGAAGGTTTCGATCGGTAGATATCGCGATCGATCGAGACATCGCGCACTCATAACGCTGTAATTACGGACTGCTCGCCGGCGAGAAGCGGTCGACGCCGCCGCTGTTTTTCTAGCTGTCCAGGGCAAACACCGCAGGAGCCGAAAGTTATATTTGTCAAAATATTTTGACAAACGACATAAGGGTGAAGTGTATCGGTGATGGACTTCCGAGCGGGGGCAGGGGGGACGCTGACCGCGGCTGAGAGAGCGGACGCTCCGGGTACTCTCAACGGCTCGCTCATCGTAATTCATCTCCGGCTACTGAACGGATGATGTTTCTCGTTCCGATCGTCTCGTCCCGATCGTTTTCACGACGACACGCAGTATCCCCGGTCATATTATTAGACGCACTTTGATTCCCCAATAGAACACAGGTTAGGAGGGGAAGAAAAGCTACTTTAATTTTGCTCCGTTCGCTCGATTAGAACAATTTTCAGCGTCGATCGGCACTTGCCCTCTTTTAACCTCCCGAGGTGTCCAATCACTCGTTTCACCCATAATTCTTGTAAATAACGTTAATATTTTTCACAGAAAAATTTATTTTTCCGTTTCAATCACGAATAAACGAAAATAAGATGAAGTTTCGATTGACACGCACACTCAAAGCTCACGTTCTCGTGATTGTCAACGATGCGACTAGCGTGAGTTCACCACTTGTTCAAGGTCACCGTGACAGCCGAGCGAAATGACGTCATAAAGAATACTTTTCGTAGAACAATGGTTCCTTAACGGAATTCGATCGACGGACGAGCCGTATTCTAATAAGCTGGTCCTCGGAAGTCGATGAGTTGTGAAAAATGAAGGTGCGTCTAATAATAACACGGGCCAGGGACTAGAGATCGCTAGGACGACGGCGTTAAAGGCGTTTCTCGAGGATTCGGCGAAGAGAGGAGCGCGCCGACGTGCGCGCTTGACGTTGGACGGAGCCGCGACTTCGGGGAGAACAAAGGCGTTCGTCAAGACGAAATCCAGTTAGATTAGCCGGCGCGCGTGGTTCTCCTCTTATTCGGCCGGAATATCGGCATTACCCTGTTGACCGAAAACCCCGACGTGTTAGGGTCAGTCCGGCCAGTCGAGCTATTCCGTCTCATCCCGATGGACTTACGAGATTAAGCGGTTCGCGCGCGCGCGCGCGCGAGTTTGATCGAGTCTTCTAAGTCTTTCATTACGAGCTACTGGGGCTGCGCGTGGGATTATTATTACGGTAAGAAGTAGCCCGTCTTGTTTGTTAAACGAGGGGAGAAAGAAGGCGCAAAAGGGGTCGCTCGGATGCTTCAGCGTGACTCACGTATCTCACTCTGATCAATCGACGAAGACACCTTTCTCGATAAATATGCCACGATTTATCGTGACTTCTATCAGCTGGATCGTCGCGTCGCCGAGTCGCCGTACTCATTCGAGCAGATTTCAATCTCGATCGCCGGTAGTTTCGGACCGTGTCGGAATTTCAGTTCTGCATTAAGTTTATTTAGTTCTACGTTCAGTCTTCTTCACGGGTCTTCCATCGTATTCGTTTCGATACTGCAAATGAGAAGTTATTTCCGTTTCCTCCGCTTGAAGTCTCAATGTGGAATTGGAAATTTTCCTCCGGGAGGTATGAATTGTCTTTACACCGAGGGGAAGAGAAATATTTAAAAACAAACGAATATTTCTCCGGTGGGTTACGATATTTACTTCAATCTAAATTCTCTTTGTTGTTTAAACCGAGTGATGTTTACTTGATTTGAATAAATAATACTCGCTTTAAATAAAGTGAATTTAGATTTGAATAAATATCGTGTAGAAACACCCATCAAAGAGATATTCGTTTGTTTTTATAAGTGTTTTTTCTCTCAGTGTATAACATCGAAGGAACATCGTTAGTGCTTCTGTGGATGTTACAAATCGGAAGTTATTTCCGTTTTTTTCACTTAAAGGCTGAATACTCAGGACTAAATAGACTTAATGTAGAAAATTCTGACTCGGGAAAGCCGAGGGTGAAATCGGGTGTAACGATTGCATCGATGTACCGAAGGGAAAAAGTGCTACATCCAAGTAATACTTACTTAATCCAGGTGAAATAGTTGACTCCGATACTCCTCAGCAAACGTTTACGTAAAAATAACGCTCTTTTCCTTCGGTATATTAACCGAGACGTCCCGGTGATGAATTGCTGCGCTGTGAAACGTCAGGAGAAATTACGGGATTCCTTATAGTTAGATTTAAATACGAGATGCGTTTGTACATTACTGTTTAAGACGCGGCGCCGTTAAAGTTGTTCTTCATTCGCAGGTGCGAACCGGGTCAGATCGTCGACCAGCACAGCGATAGATCATTTTGAAATTCATCAAGGTACCCACATATTACAGGTAAGTTTTATCCTTTTGTTTTTTTGCCTCACCTACGCTGTGAACGATAACGCGTTCTCGGAGAGAGTAAAAAATTACCTATAGTTCAACGAGATCCATACATTGAGAAAAATAAAAGAATACTTTTGTAACTTTTATCGCATGATAATAATTATTACTATTCGTAAATACAATCGCATAAGTAGAAGAATTATAGTTAGGCGAGGCGTTTTTCCACTAAGTCTTACTGATAAAAGCGATAATAATCTTGACTATAATTTCATTAAAAATGACTAGAATTTCTATCGGATTTCTCTCAGTGCACAGTCCACGGAAAAGTCGCGACGCTTTTCTTTTCCAATAAGTTTCGCAACGCATCTCGTATCCAGCAGGAGAATGCATCTCCCGAGAACTAAAAAAAAAAACTATTCAACACGGTAATGTTGAGTTCCGAAACTAATAAAAGAAAAAAAGTGTCGGGACCTTTTTTACGTTGGACCACACACGATTTTGGATTCAATAATAACTGCCAATTTACCGGGATCGTGCGAACCGTCGTATCGCGGGTCACTTCGACTCGATTAAAATCACCGAGGTCTGAGCTCGCAAACGGCAAAATCGCCGGCATCACGGCTGAGAACGTGTAAACGTTCGAAGGGCTACCTTTCCGGTAGCGTCCGATCCTAACAGTGTCTCGCGTTTTCTGTCGCTAGTCCCTGGACGGCTTCGCGATGGCTGTCGCGGCTGATGGCAGATTCCTGTACATATCCGAGACCGTTTCCATATATCTCGGCCTCTCACAGGTAAGCGTGTCCTCGCTCGAAGCGGGGCGGGCCAGGGGGTGCGTAGGGGAAAAGTGATAACGATAACGAGAAAGCGAAAGCGAATAAAAAAGCAAGCGCGAACCGCGAATGCAACGTGCACCGCGCGGCCGGAAGACCGAAGATAGTGGAAAGACGTAAAGGTGTGGGTGCTGCAGGAGGAAGGCCCGGAGGGGGAGGGGAAGAAAAGTTGACGGAAGAGAAGGAGGTTGAAGCGTTAAAGTAGTAGTGGTGGTGGTGAACGCCGGCAATAGTAGTAGTAGCAGTAGTGGCGGCGGCGACGGTAGAGGATGATGGTGGTGGCGATGGTGGCGGTGGAGGTAGCGAAAGAGGAGGAGGAGGAGAAGGAAAAGTTGATAGCGTTGTAGAAGAATAAGGAGGAGAGGTCAAGGGAGGAAAAGAGGAGAAGGTTGTACGAGTTGGCGGCCATACTGGCTGGCACGACGGCGAGAGCATGACATAGAAGGGGGAAAGGATGGGTGGATGGCGGCGGGCGGAGGTGGTCGCATGCGGCTCACGTAGCCTCTGCACGGCGGCGTGTTCGCCATTCCTAATGCCGCTCGCGAAGGTGGACGGGGAAAGAGAGTAGAAGCGGCGCGGGGTAAAGCGCGAAGGGGGGAGGGGGGGGGTACCGGGAGGTGACCGGTGTACCAGCTCTCTCTCTCTCTCTCTCTCTCTCGGTTCTGCGAAGCTCGTGGGGCAATCAATAGGGTGTTTCGGGGATTCGGAAAACCGACGGAAAGCCGACGTTGGCACAAACATGGCTGCCGCGGCTGCCTCGCCGCGGAGAGCTTCCCCCGTGTTACCTGCGTACCCCCCTGCGTGCCCCTTGCTTGCGGCTCGCGTTGCCGAAATCGAGTCGCGTCGTGTGAAGGTGGATGCACACTAGACGAAGGGAAGGCGAATGTGCGATACGAATGCGCGTCTAAACGAGACCTCGGACTTGCTTTGATGAACCATCCTGTGAGCAAATCGGCCCTTGAGGTGTTCTTTTCGGGTTCCTTACGGGGCGTACACACGGTTGCAAATTGTAGCAACGGAAGTTCGCATTCGGTCTTACCAACTTATTCGTTCGCTCGGTGTACATCCCCGGCTTTGGAAGCGCCTGGCGGGCGGCAGGATGTTTCCGCACGGAAGAAATACTCGGTTCCCGCGAGCGAAGGGACGGTGTTGAGAAACGAAGACCAGGCGGCGAGAAATGATGTCTCCGTTGCCGAGTACATTCGCGCGAACGTTCAGCATCGAAAAGCTCAATCGAGACAATTAAGAACGGTTAATTGAGAGAGGAATCTTTCCGTTCCCGCAGCCGAGTTTCCGCCCGGTCCCCCGGCAGCAGAAATTTCGATCACACTAACGAAGTTGTTCTTCCCGTCACAGAGAAAAATTTTCATCGGATAAACCGATTAAATCCGGTATATCCGATTGTCATTTTATCATCCGATCAAGTAACGGACGGATTTCGCCCGATGAAACATCCGACGAAATTGCCGAGTTTACCGGTGAAACCTAATCGGGAAATCAGCCGCCTTTCGTACATCCTTTGTTTTCATCGCATAAAGACACGGTTTGACCGGGCATCGCACTCGATCAGATGTATCCGTTTGTTACTTTTTAATTGGATCACCCGATCAGACATAATCGGACATTTTTCTCGGTACTTCTTTACTTTCTTAATGAGGCGTCATTATTGACGCGGCGGAAAAATCGCCGTTCGCGCGACAGAACGGNGGGGGGGGGGGGGGGGACCGGACGAAAACTCGGTGAGACGAGCACGATATGCCCGGGAAAAAATTATTCTGTATGATTGTGTTTAATTATAAAAAGATCACATGTGAATTTTGCCGTTTATGTGGTTACATGATCATGTGTCTATACGGAGAGAAATGATGTTATGTCGTTCGATTAAATGTCGATATCATCACGATGCGCCGTCAGAAGCACAAGTGGCCGGAAACATTTGCTTCCATTGTATTTGCATATAATTTGTGAACAACATGTAATTCAAACATGTATTTCTCGCGCTGCGGACATACGTGTTTACACACAATCTTGGACAAATTTCACATATGATCTTTTCCTCCCGGCTAGCTCGTGTTGTCGCCGACCGACGCGCGTTCGTCGCGTCGAGAGACAACCGGGGATCCATTTGGCCGTGGAGAAATCTCCCACAGGAGTCTTTCCGCTCCGGCGGTCGAGTTTTCGTTTGATCCCCCGGATAACGGGAAACATCCGAGTGTTCGCGCGACGGGACCGATGCATCGTATTTGTGATTAAGATATCGCGTCGGACTGGAGGAAGGAGGCGTTGGCGAGAATTGTGACAAAGGGAAGAAGATCGTGCCTTAATTTCAGGTAGAAATGACGGGGTCGAGCGTTTTCGATTACGTCCATCAGCAAGATCACGCCGAGGTCGCGGAACAACTCGGCCTTGGGCTCGCGTCGTCGTCCAGCACGCCGGGCCCGCACTCGTCGAATTCTGGCCTAGCCTCGCCGAGCAGCGCCGCGTCGGAAGAGCACGGCTCGTCCTCCACCGCGAATCCCGACGGTAACTGTCTCGCCTCATTTTGACGAATGAATCCGCGTCACCAATGTATTATATAAAGAATATGCTCTTCAAATTTCTCGGAACTTTCTTACTCGAAACAAGTGAAAAGTAGCAGTCCTCGACCATATTATTAGACGCACTTTGATTCCTTGATGGAATACAGATTAGGAGGTGAAGGAAAGCTACTAATTTTTGGCTCACTTGGTTAGAATAATTTTCGATGTCAATCGGCGCTTTCATCCTTCGCAACCTTCTCAGGTGTCAAATCACCTGTTTCACCCGTGATTTTTGTAAACAATATTGATATTTTTCACGCAGAAATTTATTTCTCCAGTTAGCAAGCGAGGAATCGAAAGTTTCAAGTCACGAATAAACGAAAATAAAACTGAATCTCGATTGACGCACGGCCAAGTGAGATGACGTCAGAAAAATATATTTTTCGTAGTATAATCGTTCTTTGGCGTAATTCGATCGATAGATGAGCCGTATTATAAAGCCGGAAGTCAATGAATTGTGAAAGATTAAGATGCGTCTAATAATATGGGCGGAGTATGTTTTCACTCAGAGCGATAATGCAAATCCGGCCACTCGAAGTCGCAAGAGCGAGGTGTTTCATTCATAGAGAGGATTCTGATTCCACACGAGTGAACGTTCCCGTCGATTAGAGTGAATTCGTTTTCGTAACGGCGGAACAGATCGTCGGATTCATCCGATGATTCAAAGTGGAGGATTCACTGAGTTAAAAGTCGCTCGAATTCGACAGACAGTCAGACTCTACCTTTTGAATGAGAAGAGATATCACACCGAGAGGTTTGAAGCACTTCCCTGGATTTCCCGGAGTTGAATCTCACCCGAAACAAGTGAAAAGTGCCGGTATTTTTGCCTGAGGCGATACATAAGATGCTAAATACTGTCCACCTCGCAGTCGTAAAAATGAATATTTTACTTAAGCTGAGAGTGGGTTCTGACTCCACGCGAGTGGATTCCCCGGTCGATCAGAGTGAATGTACTTCTCGTGACGGTGGAATACATTAGATTCGTTAGTTTTAAGTGCGAATATTTAGTCAGCTCAGACTCGAGGTGGAGAATTCGCCCCGTGCGAGCGAAAAGTCACGCGAATCCGAATGGCATTTTACTCCTCGAGTGGGATTTTGCTCCGAGAAATTTCGAGGGCAAATAATCTCGCATATCTCGCGAGCGAAGAGACCCAATTTCACTCTTGTATTCGTGTGTTATCTTCAGTGTCCTCGGTAATGTCGCTATCGGCGACCGGACTTTACAAGGGATACGACCGGGCGTTTTGCGTCAGGATGAAATCCACTCTGACGAAGAGGGGCTGTCACTTCAAGTCGTCCGGTTATCGGGTAAGCGAATTCGCGTGTCAATCCGACGATGCAAGAGTAGAAAATAGCTGTACATTATCTCGCAACACGGCTCGTCCTCTCGCTGAGCCTTGATCGGTAACTCATCGACAAACGATGATTACTAACAGATTGATAATTTCAGACTCCGGAATAGTCGCTGTGACGTTATTTAACGACGTCAGAAGCGAAGAAATTTTTGCGCTATACTTCGAAAAATAAAAAATAAAAAGATACATCCGCAGAATGATAACTTGACGCGGAAGTTTCTCTTCCAACCTCTTTTCTCGTGACTTCGTCAGTGTTAATTTTGCGACTATTTACCGATCGTTCGAGTAGAGGGAAAAGTGTTCCTCCAATTTTGCAAGTTCGCTGAATCGATCGCAAATGTCACTTCGCGGATACATCTTTTGATTTGGAAATCTAACGCAGCGAATTTTGGCGTTTTCTCGCTTCTGACGTCATTAAACAAGGACAGTCACAACAACGATCACACCCGGAGCCTTGATTAACTCTGCGTCTTATTCTTTTACACTGTCTGAGATCGCGTAGAATAGCGCACACACACACCTTTTCACGTACGCGTGTATACGCGCAGGTCGTGCTGCTGCTGTGTCGTTTGAGGCCGCAGCTCATATTTAGCCATACGAGGAAGACCGCGCCACCTCTGATGGGTATGATCGGTCTGGCCATCGCGCTCCCGCCGCCGAGCGTGCACGAGATCCGTCTCGAGACCGACATGTTCGTCACACGAATCAGTTTCGACTTTCGGATAGCACATTGCGAACCAAAGTAAGTACCGCACCCCGAAGTAACCCCTCGAGTGAGCGTGACGGGTCTCGCCCGTGTGAGCTTCCTCGGCCAAACTCAACTTGGACAAAGATTAGGCCCACCATAATGTTTGAAATACTTTTTGTTTTTTTATGACAAATATTTGAAAAAAAATTCANATATATATATATATATATATACATATGTTAATATAGAAGTATTATCATTCAGGTTGACCTGTAAATTGTTAACAGAAATAAAATATAAAAATCAGGCTTGCAAAATGTAAAAAGAAAACAAGCCATTCCATGACGGCTGATAGATTATTTATTGTCTAAAAGCTGATATATTATAGTTTGCATTATCTGTATAGACGCAGTAGATTATTGTACTTTACATGTAAACGCTTGCAACCCTGCACGCGACATTATCGAGTCTCTCACGGACGCTTCGACGAACGCAAAAGAAATTCGCAAAGTAGGTGAACCTAGTGAGCGACCGTCTCACACGTACCAAAATTCGTGTTTCTTCAGGGTTTCCGAATTACTGGACTACACGGCCGACGAATTAACGGGGAAGAATCTCTACACGCTGTGTCACGGCGAGGATGCGAACCGTCTACGGAAGTCCCACATAGATCGTGAGTATAACTGTTATGAATTGTAAAATTCGCGATCACCTCACCGTCGATCGTAAGACACCAGAAGAGAAGTCGCTGAATACCGTTTGCACGATCACACGTAAAATCACACCACCTGAGATACGACTTCTGTGTGACGTTTTTTTTTTCTGTGTAATGTTCGAGAGGAAGGAAATAAACGCGGCGCAGCGCCTTGAACTTACCTTATTAAGCCGGCAAGCCGTGCATGCTCGATTGAACTCGAGGATATCTCATATGCTGTGTAGCATCTCATGCCGATGTCATAATGATCATTGGAAGTAGCTTTTCACTCGGTGCACTTCCGACACATAACACATATGCACACACCCACACGACACATCGTGCTTCTCCGCAGCGATTTCGTTCCTGCCGCGAGGAGGAAAATAATCTAACGCGAGTAGCAAATTTTCTTTCGTCGCAGTAAATAAATATATATACAGGACATTTCTTAATTACACCGTCCGATATTTTAGAAATTGCTTCTTCGGGTCATTTTCACAAGGAAAACGTTCACACGCACCTGTGTGTTCGTTTCCTCGTAAAACGACCGCAAAAGCCTCGACTCCTCAAATATTGTACGGTATTTGAGAAACACCCAGTATATATTTATTTGTTCGCTGCGCCAGTATGAAACGTTCGCTGTCCCTCTGAATTATTATTTCCCTCCGTGCGATTATTTCGAGTAATCTTCTTCGAAGGAGATTCCGAATGAGATTACATTTCGTGTTAGGCACGAATCAAAAAATTCCCGAAATTACACGTTACAATTACCGTTTCCGTGTTGCGACACGTAACTGATGTTAAACGTTCGCAATCGCGGCGACATCGTGACACGTCGGGATCATCGCTGAAAAAAAAATGCCGATCTTCGTTCATCCGTCCCCATCGTAAAACGTTAATGAAAGAATGCGAGAGATGAAAGGTGTGCGATAGGTGTGTGTTGCTCAACGGTGACGGTGAAGGAGAATGGGGTTCGTACCGGCAAAGACTGAATAAATAAGTGAGGACTGAGCGAGCGACAGTGAAAGAAAGACACGAGGGACACGACGGTAGTCGCAGGGCTGCTGTTATTTTGCGAAAGTCAAACATTTCCTAGGAAATATAACGAGTCGAGGAAGGGATCGTAGGCGTCTAAGGGAACGTGGAAAACTGTCATCTTTCGATCGAAATTTTCGCGGACGGATCTCAAATATCACGCGGGGAGAAATAATGAATCGCAATCGCGGGCCGTCGAGCGCAATTAGCGAATATTGAGTTTTCCTCGACATCCTAACATCTCGCGAGATCGGACACACTTCGTCAGCGTTTTTCGTTTTTCCTCGCAGCGGTCGGTACTCGGGAATCGATTAACGGCCGGCGGGTGGAGGGAAGGGGGGGGGGGAGAATAGAGTCGTAACGTTATTAATGTACATACGTTTCCAATCAATCAATCAATCAATCAATCAACCAACCAACCAATACCAAAAGCCGATAGATCTGCCACGCAGAATTTCTTGCTCCTATTGTTCTAGGAAAATACTTCGGTGAGAAAGAACGCGGTGGGTGTCAAAGCTGTTCCGGGAAGAGAGAAAAGCACGAAAAGTATTAATACGTGTTGGTCTTTTCGACTCTGCGCGCGAGACCGCTTGCTGATTTAGTAAGTACGTATCTGTTTGTATTTGAACGTTTCAGATCAGATGTTAGTCAATGCACGTGTAGGCGTGGGAATATATAACGGTGACCTTTGCCCGGTCTCGCTCAGTTTTTCGACTTTTCCGTTTTTCTCGGCACGAAATATCACCGATCGCGCGTGTCTTCCTTATTAATGTCGCGATAATCAAAACGTCGCACGTCGTTTCTTTCGCAAATCCATCGCCAATTCCGAGAGAAAGAAAGAAAGAGAGAGAAAGAGAGAGAGAGAGAGAGAGAGAGAGAGACGCGACTCGGAAATTAATTCGAACGGTCTCGATTCTCTTGTTAGAGAAGAGAGAGAGAGAGAGAGAGAGAGAGAGACACAGAATATTCTTGCTTACTCGCTTAATCGTCTCGCATCCATCGATGCGACGATGAAACGTCTTCCGAGTGTCCCGTCGATTTTTCAGCAGAGAAATTCGCGCACTCAAGTTCAAGGTTCGATCCCTCGGACAATAGCGAACAAGATATTCGCATCGACAAGCCAGCACATTGTCGAAGATGGCAAAGATAATGATCGGAAAAAATTATCGGCAATCGCTTCGCCCTCTCAATCGGCCAGACGAGAAATATTCCCTTTTAACTACGTGTCTCCTGCGAGACTACATAATATATAGACTGTATAGACACCACTTCCAAGAGCATTATACAGAGATGGAAATGAACGTATACATACACACGCGCACACACACGTATATATATATTATATTCCAATGAGACAATAAACGAAGGATCAATCAAGATTTGCATTTACAATAAGATGCTTGTTTTTCCTCATCATTGTCGTACAAACGGTAGCTTCGACGCTGATTGTGTAATCACACTTTCGAGAAGTGAAAGAAAGAGAGAGAGTGAGAGAGAGAGAGAGAGAGAGAGAATAGAAGAAGAAAAAAATAAGGAATAAACGTTTGAGAAAAAATCGGAGAATTCATGTGATTCATATTTTAATAAGTTTTTATAACCTCACCTCTTTCTTTTACGGTTCTATATATACCTCAGTCGTCGAGGTCATTTAAAAACACCGAACTGTGTTGATTGTAGTGATCCACAAAGGGCAGGTATTGACACATTACTATCGACTGATGAACAAGAGCGGCGGGTACACGTGGCTGCAGACGTGCGCCACCGTCGTGTGCAATTCGAAAAATGCCGAGGAGCAAAATATCATTTGCGTCAATTACGTCATAAGGTGAGTCGTCAACACACCGGATTAGCGCGTGGTTCGTGCGTCTCATTGATCGGTCCCCTCAAATTGTTTTCATTTCCGGCCGAAGGAAGGGAGAATTCGCGGTCTTCGGAAACCGAAGCACGGATTTTACGACGTCATTAAAACCGTTCAAGCGCGTAACATTATTTAATATTAAATAATATTCCGAGCATACTCTTAGAATATATTAGACGCATAATATTCTAATAATATATTGACACTGTTAATATTAATATTTAATGTCACCGCGAAATCCGTGCTTGGACCTCCTAAAGGCCCGTAAATTCTCTCCCCGGGGAAAAATGATTATATATGATTATGTATAATCATATAAAATCATATATAAATCTTGCCCATATATGCGGTTATGTACATCATCATATATGATCATATAAGTCTATACGAAAAAAAAATGATGTTACGTCACTCAATTAAATGTCGATATCACGTGCAGTCAGAAGCTGGCCAGAAGCATTTACTTCAATTATATTCGCATATAATTTGCAAACAACAGTATTTCTTCGTCGTGAGCACGTGTGATTATATACAGTCATACATACGGGCAAATTTCACGTGTGGTCTTTTCCCCCCGGGGGAAATCTTCCTCTGGTCCGACCAGGTGGGAGCTGATTCACGCTTGACACCTCGTTTGCGCAGAGCACGGCCGGCGGAATATGCTTTCTCATATCGTTTCTCGTCCACAGCGGCCGAGAGTACGAAAACTTAATAATGGACTGCTGCCAGCTGGAGGACGGCGTCACCGGCGTGAAGAGGGAGGACACGGCCGGGAACGATCCGGAGAACGGGTCGCCGGACGCCGACCGAGGAGGTACAAAACAGCCTTTGATTTAGCGACCGACGCGTCCGAGAAAGAAAGAGAGAGAGAGAGAGAGAGACGCGTCCGGGAGGAACATCGGAAACGCGTTCATCCTCGGCCTTCGCGCCCTCGACGTGATATTCGTTGCAACTTCTGATTTCAGAGGGTCGTAGTCGAGGCGGCCCTGCGAATCAGCACCAGGAACAGTCCCACCGGTCGCCGGCGGAGGAGCGGGAGGAGAGTCACGGCTCGGAGAGCGAGAAGCAGCGGGGCAGCAGGCACCACGACAACATGGCGCAGCTGCAACAGGACTCGCAGACGGCGGTCGGGAACATCGGCACGCTCGTGGTGAGGCTGCGCGCGAGCGGGCACAAGCGGAAGATACCCGCGGACGACGAGAGCAGCTCGAACGAGGAGGACGACGAGGAGGACGGGGCGAGCACGGCGAAGGAATCCGGGAGCAACGAGAGGAGCCGCGCGCTCAGCCCCGCCGCCTCCACCCACTCGATCTCGACGACCGAGCAAACCCTCTGCTCGACGACGAGCCCCAAGTCCCGTCGCACCGGCGAGCCCGTCTCCACGAGACTCGACAGCAGCAACAGCAACACCGAGAGCACCGGCACCTCGGTGAAGGATCTCGAGCAGGCGATGTCGAAGCATCTGCCGGTGAGCTCGCTGACGAAATCGAACTCACCGGCGACCCTCCACCAGCCGACCGACTTCAGCACGGACGCCCTGCTGAAGCAGCAGCAACAACGGAGCACGATACAGTGGATAGGTGCCCACCATCACCACCACCTGGGCCACCTGAGCCCGCAACAGTCGACCGCCGCTCCTTTACCCGCCTCCGCCCTCCTCCGGCAGCTCTACGCGAACCGGGAGAGCGTGATACGCGCGAACGTCCACGGGATCACGTCGAGCGGCGGCGGTGCGCGCGCCCCCTCGTCCGCCGGCATCTACTACCCGGGCGAGACCGCGCCGAACGCCGGCCCGCTGCCGACCCCGCCGGGCTCCGAGGGCTCCAGCACGTACGGCGAGCACCAGTTCGTGCTGGCCGCCGCTCACAATCAGAAGCCCACCGCCGGCAACTGCGCCGCCGACGCCTTCACCAGCCTGGTCTCCTCGTACACGACCGCCACCGGCGGTTACTCCGTGGACTACCACTCCGCGATGACGCCGCCCTCGTCGGTCTCGCCCCGGGACAAGCAGCAGCAGCAACAGCAGCAGCAGCAGCAACAGCAGCAGCAGCTTCATCCCGTGATAAGTAGCTACGAGAGCTCGTCGGCGTACGCGGAACCGGCGGTGCTGCGTCACCAGTACGAGCCGGCCCAGCCGTTACCGTTGAAGCCCCAGGTGTACTCGGCCACTGTTCATCCGAGTGCCTTAGACGCCGCGGCGGCGTACGCATCGGCCGGCCTCACCGCCGAACAGCCGCAATTCTACCATCATCCGGCCGGCACCGCCGGCTTCCACATCTACCATCCGACTAACAAGTCGACGGCGAACGGCTGGTACACCTCGGCTTCCTAGTGGCACCACCACTACCAGCAGTAGGGCCAGCCCTTTCAGAGAACGGCCACCGTGTGTGTGGACGCGTGCGACGGGGAACGCGTGTACTTAAAGCAACTGTAATTAAAAGAGACCCCCCCCCCCCCC